GAGCATCACCGGGCCAGCGTCCTTCTCGAACCGCAGGTCCATCGTGGCTTCCTCGGTGACGGTGTGGGCAGGGCCAACAAAAACCATTACCTTAATGGGGGTCTTGAGCTTGGTCACGAGGACGTTGCGGCCTTGCTTTTTGAGTTTGGCCAGCGTCGCGGGATGCACCACACTTTGATCGGCGCTGCTGTCGAAGGACGCGTCCAGCGAGACGGCCTGACCAGCCACACACACAACGCGGGCAGCGCAAATCACGGCATTGTCGAGGGACACCTCGGCAACGTCAACCGTCTCGACGACGGTTACCGACTTGGTTTCTTTCCAGATGGAACGGACACGTTCCATCAAGAGCTTGGCTTCGCCGTCAGCGACCTTAGGGCACTTGAACACATTGTGCTCGGTGCTCAGGCACTTGAAACACGCACGTTTCTCTTGGGTGAAGTTCGACTACGGGATCTTGTCTTCTTTCACGACGGCCACGACCTTGGGGGCCTTCCCAGTCTTGGGGGTCTTGGTCGCCGCGGGCAACTTGTCGGGCTTGGCGGTGGCGGGTACCGCCGCGGCCATCGAACTCGCCGTAGCGACGCAGTCCGCCGGCCAGCGCTTGAAATCGCGCGCGTCCTTCTTGAGGCTGCGGTTCTCGTTCAACTTCATGAGTTCCTTGACACGGGCGCGCACGGCCAGTGGCTGGACGGCCGCGACGAGATAGTCGACAGTTAGTTTTGGCTCGGCCTCCGCAAACCCTACCATTGAGAGGCGTACGAGTACCGCCTCGAAACCAATTTGGACACCCGGGACTCCGCCGACTGCACTGTCGTGTCCATTTTGAGCTTGGCCATCGCGGCGTCCAACTTGGACATGTCTACAGAATCACAGTCCTTGGCACCAAGGAAGAAAACCTTCCAGTCCTCCTCCGTCAGCTCGTGGCTGCATTAAGCACGTCTCCAAAGGAGGTGGTAATCTCACATATTTAGCCGGAAACCGGACTGTGATATTGTCGTCCGACGCTTGGCGGACGGAGAACAGGTTGAACTGTAGTTCGGGGCAGTGAAGTACTCATGGTCGCGATGTTTGATTGGTTGCTTTGAACGTGTATTTTAGCCTATGGAATCGACATTATGTACCTACACATTGACTTTGTGAACTCTGCTCTTAAGCCATACTAATGTATTCTGGTCGATAATGATAGTGCCTACTGTACGTGTATTGTGGATTTCGGTGAAATTTGCTGTTATTAATACGTGAAGTGGCAATAAATCCACCTCACGATTTGATTCGCCAAAAATACCATAATTCAGCCAATCAACAGTATTTCCCTGAGTCTGGGAAAAATCAACAACAGGAACTGAAAGGCGCGGCGACACGGCAGCATGAGCGCCGACACAGTTTACCACTGCGTATTCGTCGTCAAGTCCGAGGATAACACAGTCGCGATGAGCAAATTGCTCTCCATGTTTCCTTGAATGTCCTGGTACTAGTGTATCGGTGATAGTGGTGGCGTTCGATATCTATATATCTATAAATTACACCATTCCAGAGGTTTGGTCGGGTCTGAAACCGCCCCACTGTTCGATTCAACCAATCGAACATGGAAATTTCGAGTTGAGCCCGGTACTTTTATACTTCAAACTTCGAAGTAGTATGTTTTACTGGTATTACTAGGATTTACGCTAGTACTATCAGCCCCATGAGATTAATTGACTTGTTTGTGGAATTCGTAAGGTGGCTGACCTTACTTCTGATTATTAACCAATCAGAGTGCATCATGGTTTGTTTGTCATATATGTACTTCGAAGTAATTGGTCAAGACGATCATTTTTATCGACTTCAAAAATGCCAAGCTCCCATCGACTCAAACAACTCTTGCCAGCATCACCTTAATGCTCATGTCAGCAGTTCATCACACTCTCGAGTACACTCACTATTACTTTTTTCCATAGTGC